AACACACTCGACAGCAATGGAGATCACGAATAAGCTAACGTAGGGTCGCCAATATTTCTCACCGCGCCAAAGGTACACAGTCAAGCATGCGCAGTAAGCGAAATTCGCTTAACAATGTTCAACTCAATGTGCGGTCTTGCCATTACGCGTCCGGGTGTCCGGCCCTGCTGTCTGTCACCTATGCCCCTTTGAAAGCCATCCCAGAGTTAAAAACTGCCTTGCTGAAGGAGTGGAAGCGATTGCTCATCAACTGTCTCCTGTTCAGTATGCCGTCACGCTGCGAGACATGTGTGGCTGCGGCAGAGGACCATACCCCATATTAGAATCATTTTCAATTCGATATCACAACATGGATTTTGGTTGTACATGCACTATGAGTTTCACTGATAATCATGGGTAACTTTTGAATTACACATCTCATTCTCTGTTATAAATGTGTATTCATACCAAATTTCATTAAAATCTGTTAATTGGTTTTTCAGAAAATCGACATAATGTACAAATTTTGCTAATTTTGCAGAGTGTATATAATTCTATAAAATATTAATGAAAAAAATTTGAGCACGCACTAAACGTTGTTATGTTCTGGCACATAATTTCGGCATTTGCTAAGAAAATCAAGATGTTTTCAGGATTATTTCTAACTGTTGCCTTTTCCATTTATCGGTAGCAGTTATTTCCAATACATTTTTTTTTCGGCGGGGAGAAGGGACGTTTAGTGTTGCCAGATTACTTTCACATTCTCTCTATAAATGAATTAACGAAGTTATTAAGACACAATAACACGCCGAATAAATACTAATTCAGAAGTCAAACAACAAAAATCAGCGTTATACCTACAAAATTTTCACAGGACTAGTTTCGATGGTTTTACCGAACCATCATCTTCAGCTGCAAAACCGCAAATGGAACAAGATAGGAAATAATGATTAGATAAGATAAGAAAGCCTGGACAAGAATAAGCAAGTGGCGCCATCTGTTGGCGAAACCAGAACTAAAACATAATTTCTCTAAAAGCCGAAGGCAAATTTGGATTGGAATTAGGATCGTTAACTAGAACAGAAAAAAGATTTTTATGAATGTGAAATGCCTCTAGAAAAATCCAGTTCTCCAATGGAAGATGTTTTTTGAATAATTTTGGCAGCAGAAAAATTGAAAGTGTGATTTTCGGACCAACAATGTTCAGCAACAGAAGACCTCTGTGTTTCCTTTTTTCTAACATATGCCTCATGTTCTTTGACGCGAAATTTTAAGGCTCTCTTAGTTTGGCCAATGTAAATTAAACCACACTGGCAAGGAATCCTATAAATACTCCAGGAATTCATATCCGGAATGGGGTCCTTGAGTACAGAAGTTGGAATTTTATTGATGGGAGAAAAAACAAACCCGAAAGTTAAATTTCTGCAAAATATGTGCAACTTTATAGCTATTCTGTTGTCATTCCCTTCTTTCCATCAATTAGCTATAAAGTTGCACATATTTTGCAGAAATTTAACTTTCGGGTTGTTTTTTCTCCCATCAATAAAATTCCAACTTCTGTACTCAAGGACCCCATTCCGGATATGAATTCCTGGAGTATTTATAGGATTCCTTGCCAGTGTGGTTTAATTTACATTGGCCAAACTAAGAGAGCCTTAAAATTTCGCGTCAAAGAACATGAGGCATATGTTAGAAAAAAGGAAACACAGAGGTCTTCTGTTGCTCAACATTGTTGGTCCGAAAATCACATTTTCAATTTTTCTGCTGCCAAAATTATTCAAAAAACATCTTCCATTGGAGAACTGGATTTTCTAGAGGCATTTCACATTCATAAAAATCTTTCTGTTCTAGTTAACGATCCTAATTCCAATCCAAATTTGCCTTCGGCTTTTAGAGAAATTATGTTTTAGTTCTGGTTTCGCCAACAGATGGCGCCACTTGCTTATTTTTGTCCAGGCTTTCTTATCTTATCTAATCATTATTTCCTATCTTGTTCATTTGCGGTTTTGCAGCTGAAGATGATGGTTCGGTAAAACCATCGAAACTAGTCCTGTGAAAATTTTGTAGATATAACGCTGATTTTTGTTGTTTGACTTCTGAATTAGTAACGAAGTTATTGTTTTCACATAATATAAAATTATCGCGTCACGTGTTTTTACTCAGTTTTATACTGAATTTTTTTCATTAAAGTTACGACACATTTATTACGAAACTATTGGTAAAAATTCAATTTAAAATGCTTTTACCCTTATATTTTTCAACTTTTAGGTATTATTTCGCTAGTTTAAAATTTGCATTACATTTAATTAATAGACTCGCAAAATAAGGAACTTAAACCTTCCATAAGAATATAAAAGGCAACTAAATAAAATGCAGTCAAAACTAAAATTCTACATCATAAACACACAGAGGCAAATATTGTATTGATGATTTTGCCTTAAATGCTATAATACTTTAACTCCTTCTGAAAAAACGATTTTGAAACATCGTTCTTATAAAATTTTAATAAACATTCTCATGAATTATTCTTATAATATTATTTACTAAATTTTATCTTAAATTATTCTTATATCTTAATTATCTTAAATTATTCTTGAAGAAGCTTTCAAAGGAATAAAAACATATGCATAAGTATATGATTAAGAAGCAAATATTTGAGCATACCATATGATAAATATGGATATAATCACTGCATGTAAGGGCTGCAGTGATAATATATAATGACAGCGTGAGATATTACTAAGACTTATATAGATTTCATTACTATTATAAGAATTAATGTTTTTTAGTATCCATTGTCTAGTATTAGCCATCTAGCATTTTGAAAGGACTGGCCCTGTTTGGTTGTATTTTAACGTTTTAGCAGTTTTTGCTTAACTGTCTAGGCGCTACTAAAGCATCCGTTGTCTTTGTCATTGTGAATGTCGTTGCATATAGCAGATTTAACATCATAATTCAGAAATTAAGCTTTGCGAACCCTTCTAATAGCAAAAAGCTTTTGATTTTATTAATATTGTCACAGAACTGAGAAATGCAAAACACTCATGCAAATTTGTTGCATTAATATCATGCAAACTAAGGATATATAAAAAGATTGCTGAAGAATACTCTTTTGAAAAAAAGTTAATACTTGAAAATATCATCAGCAATCTAAATTTTGATGAAACTTCTTACGACAATCATAAGGCTTCCACCTCCATAAAAGTCCGAATTACCAAGAGCTTTTGATGATCTTAGGAAGACTCGCTGTAGAGTAGCACCTCTCCTTAACGCAGTTTCCTCTGAAAATGGTGAATTTCTGAGAACACTATTAAATAGTAATACTAGGCATCTCTGGTATTATAATCTCTAAGGAGACCACCTCTACGGAAAATTTGTCTAGAATTTAGTCGTCTTAGGGAGTTTTATATAATTCTCATATTTTTACTGCCATAAGGAACCGTAATTATACACGTTAGCATTGCACATCTTACAGATAAAGACAAGGCCTACACACCGGTCTTCTTTTTACCAACAGTAAATAGCATTAATAAGAATTCGGCTTTCCGAGAATTCTTAATTTAAAGACGTAGTAAGCTTAGCATTTTAGAGGAGTCAGATTTCAGAAAGGGAAAAAAAGTCGCTATGTGTCCTGAAAATCAAGAAACCTTAAACCTTCATAAATTTCTTCAGTAATGTCACTTCTAAAGAACATCGGAAGCTGTGAATCCGTGAAGAGATAATTAATTGAGAAGCCATAAATTATGAGTAGGCCTTCTTGTTAAAGGAAATCATATTGCTTTAGATAAGTAGTAATTATTCAAAATGTAGGACAGCCAACAACAACATAGCATCTGATATTGCACCGTTGTAGTTTTGCAAAAATGGTGGACATCCTTTAAGGCACTCTATACTGCAAAATAAATTTCATCCAGTAGTAAACATATATCAAAGAAACTGGACTACAGAAGACTGGAAAAATATATATAAGTCTGACAATTCTTATCTCGGAATATTTCCATGAATAATTGTATTCGTCTTTGGTATCAGTTTTGTAAAGCAATATTTCATTCTATTTTGCATTATTGAATTTCGGAGTATAAGAGCACTGTTAAAGAATGGAATGTATTTAACTAGCATAACCTGGAGCCGCTTCTTAATATTTAAAATATGTCGATTTTATTGTTGTTTACTGAATACCCTTCATTGTGATTAATTATTTATTGTATACAGTACAACGATGTCTAGTGTGATACGGCCTTTGGCCTAGTTTGTTTTCAAGATAAAGTAATTGCTGTATTTGCTTTTGAAATTGACAGATCTTTTTTTATCTTTTTAATAGCATCTTCTTCACTGCTACCAAAGAATTTTTCCAATGCATAATGGTCAACAATTTGTTGAACAGATCACAAAGCATAACATGAATAGTCAGTGTGTAATGAATTCAGTGTATAGGAAAGATTTAATGTAATTTCCTTCTAATTGTTATAAAAAAGTGCTTTACATGGTAATTTTAACGGGATAATTTGTAACTTTAATACATTTTTTTATATTATTAGTATATGTTTTCTCGCTAGTGAAGGACTTATTCTGTTTGTAAAAATAAATAAATGCATATGTAGTTTATTTTAAATTAGAAGCTGGTAAATTAAATACAAACCACAGTAAGTGGTTAAAATTTTCGGTGATAAAATAGATGGATTCGAAACCCGTTCATGAATTTTTCATAAAAAGCACGAAAAGGGGTAAATATGGAAAGACAACATAAAACAGAGAAACTGAAACAGAGAAACGGGAGTAGTACAAAGCCATGTCTAATTTTATATCTTCATTTAACTAAACTAAGTAAGTATCATATATTTGATGGATACTGATGCAATATATTTAAGACATGATTTATCACATTCACAAAGTGACTGTGATTTAACAACTTGGAGAATCCTTTGAACAAATTAAACTCGTCTGCAACAGTGTCTAGCGCGTTATATAGGCCTCCGTAAATCAATCTTATGTTAACAAGCAAAACTTTCTTTTCATTTCAGTCAAAGCTCCGAAGAGCAGCAGCAAAAGGAAGAAGGAGAAGAAAGCGGACGTCGCCGTAGGAGCACCGCAAGCACCCAGCGCCCCGGCGGCGAGCCCTCTTCAACCGCAGGCACAGCCAGCATCGCAGTCCCAGCAGCAGCAGGATGGAGGCAGCGATCCGGAGAGCGAGAAGAACAAGAAAAAGAAAGCTCGTACTACTTTTACTGGGAGGCAGATATTCGAATTGGAAAAACAGTTCGAGATCAAGAAGTACCTGTCCTCCAGCGAAAGGGCAGAAATGGCCAAGTTGCTCAACGTCACTGAAACGCAGGTGAGTTTGACCATTTTTCTAGTCTTTCCGTTAAAGGAAGCGCATTGATGGATTCGAATGAGATTAGCTGCAGTTTGACTAGTGCCAAGTAAAGATAGTCAAAAGACATAGCAAGTAATATTTGTTAGCTTATTAATTTCATTTGCGGAACAGAACGAAAGCTGTTAAACGAAAACAAATTAAGATTGCTTAAATTTATCATTTTATCAAACCATTATGGATTAAAATCAATATTTGTGTATGTATTGATACAATTTATCTCTACTCATTGTTGGTCTTTCCATTATTATTATTATTGTATTTCGTTAAAATTATCTAGACATTTTTTCAATTTGTGAATAGGGTTTTGTTACCTTCTACATTCATCATAATCTGTATTACTTAGTTAATCACTTCACTTCTTATACTCTTCCTCAATTATATACTGCCGGGATCTACATACATACAGGCATATATATATATATGTGTGTGTGTGTGCGTGTATGCGTGTAAGATGAAATACATATTATAATTTATATATGTTATAAATTAAGTTAGCTGTACCCTCTTAATGCTGAATTTTAATTGGAGTATTTCCCCTCTGTATTCTAAAAATAATAATATTTTTTTCTGAACTGCGTCAATTCGGGACTAATCCATGTCATATGTCTCTTACATAACGCTGGTGACGTACGTGGAACTAAAACTCAAACAGCCAATAATATTTTTACAGCATCATTAATTATCCAAATAATATTTTTGCAGCATTATTAATGATCCAATCAAATTCAACGAAACTGAAACTAATTAATTCTGAATTAAGATTTCATCTTGAAAGAAAAGCACAGGTAATACTGGGAGATGTAAATACGACTTCTTCCCGAAAATCAACCTTCAGAAACCCGCGTCCGTCCCACAAATCACCAACTTTGTAACCGGCCGTTTCCTCTTTATTTCCTTCTCTTTGACATTTCAGAAACTGCAACGTGCGTCTGCGCAGCACAGGTCTTCCCAGACCGCTACGTCTATCAGTGCCCTTTCACCAACACCACTCATTTACGTCAGTGCTTCTTCAGTAATGGGGACACTTACAGACGCTTTATTATACAAAATGTGTGAATGTTGACAAGATACGTCAGACTATCATGACGATTGCCGCTATGGCACAGGACAATCTGCCAGGACTTCCACTCACTGAGCTACCCCCAATTTAGTCAACAAAACAGCATATATTCTGCAGTACAGAACTGTAGCGCATTCCTCGCGCAATCTGAGCACTTAATGCAATATAGTGTAATCGTGCAAATTACAATGAATGACGAACCGCGAATTTAAGCAAACTCATTGTTTTGTATTCGTCTAAACTCCCGAAGGGTGCTTCCGTGGGGCTCCAGGAAGCCCCACGAAAGCTTACTTCTAACCAGAGGAGGACTTGGGACGTATACATGCTTACCTCTGCTAGCCACAAGGTGACCCCGCCCTCCATTACCTCTCACCTGAACACAATACACTTGCTTTCTGCTCCTCGGCTTATATAAACTGCTGTTTTTTCTTCCTACCACAAAGCCATCAGAGATGTAAACGTTTTAAAATAGACACGAATTAGAGTATCAAGTTGTTTGTGGCCACAAATGTCAATAAAATAAGTAAGTGAGATGGAGTTGTGGGTAGATTGGAGGCAGGCCAATAACAAGTACAGTTGGCTGCAGAACTCAGTGTAACGCCCAGTGTCGTCTGCAATTTATAGAAATACTTTCAAACACTGAATCCATATCGAGAAGATCTGGATAATGTCGACCAAGATCCACATCAACGAACGGGGATCGTTATTAGGCCCTTTCAGCGCGGCTACAACTTCACACCTCTTACACGAATCACTGAAATCCGAATTTAATGGTTACAGTTACTGGCAAGTTTCATCAGATAAGGCTGTATGCTAAAAACACTCAGTCGTCCTACTCACTGCAGCACACAAGAAATTGCGTAAAGTATGGTGCAGGCAACATGCGCCTTTTGCCCAAACTTCAGTGGAGCAGCATGCTTTCTACAGATGAACACAATACCATTCCCTCATCAAGTTAAAAGGATCATTTGTGTAGTGGAGATATAATTGCTTGAACAGGTATTATGTTGAACGGCCACACACCCGCTGCATGAATTACAAAAATTCCCTGACTTCTATGAGGTATAGAGAGGAGACCTAAGAGTTCCTATGTTAAACTTTCAGGGGGACAGTAGGTCCTGCTTTTCTGTTAATGGACGACAACGCTCAGCACTCGGCCTGAGCTCAGCTGATTGGCATGTACAATAACTCAATAGGAAGACAATGGATTCAACCTATTTAAATTTTAGTTGAACTGTATAGGATGTCTCCCAGACCGGTATAGTGGTTAGGGGAGCCTACTACGATACCGAAGGGCTCGGGTTCGAATGCCGGAGAAGACAACGATGTTTGTAAATGTATAGTGTCGGTGCGGCATGGAGGCACTCTAAATTGTACGGCGAGCCAAAAATCCTCTCGTGTGGATTGGTGAAAGAGGAAAGGAGTGGGAGACCTCCGGATCCTGCCGTGGTGATCTCCCTCAAAACTGGGGGTGGAAAATAGAAGTCCAACCTCTCTTTAAAGTAGACTCTAGCAATCACTGTTCCATGTATTATAGACAAGACAACAACAACCGTATAGGATATGCAAATGTGCTGCATTTTATGTAATTAAATTACACTGTGTTCTTGTTCTTCGGCTATGCTAAGAAACAGAATTTCATTATCTAATTTTAAAATGTTTCTGTTTTCTTCAATACTTTTGTTATCTTTACCCGGTACAAAAAATTCATTATAAAATAGTATCTTTCTTAATTTTATAATATTTTAATCGTATCAAAGAATTAAAAGTACCTAAAATCCAGGCCAAGCAAAAATTATTTGCCGATGCTTTTAAGCTGTATAAAAGCTAGTAGAGAGTTGCGCATTGAACGAACTAATACTGGAATTGCCTATATAAATGCAACATTTAAATTTTTGCAGCATTGAAGTGGTTTCTTTTTATTTTTGTAATTGATTATCCTTTCCTCACTTACAGTAAAACCTGAATGCTTTTCTTGATAGCGTATGCTATCACCATGACCAAAGTGATAAAGTTATTAAATTTATAACTTCATTCAGATTTTGATTTTCAGTGATTGCGAGCCAGTTTCTCAGCGATTTACAATAAAAGTAGTTCTTCAAAGGCAGATAATCGTGTACGGACTTTTGTTATAGTTGCGCATCATTACTCTTTACAACGAATTAAACTGGACATAGGTTAATATATAGCAATGTCAAAACGTCAGTTAATAGCTAAAAATTATATTTCACTCGTATATGTTTATATAACTTTAATTCTCTAATGCAAAAAAAAAAAAAAAATGTATATAGATAAAAACAGTATCCAAAATGTTCTTTTTTCTCGCACTATGTTTTGAGTCATTTAGCTGAAATTCATCTTTTCGTTCATTGAAGTAATTTCATGAACTCAAAGGGAAACTGAACAGTTTCGGACATAAACCAAAATCATCGCACCATTCAATCAACGTGACTTTACGTTGTTCATACAGGTAACTTTACGTATTGTTGACTTTTGGGACCATTTAACTGTTACGTGATGACATCTTGCGTCTTAAACAGCGCCTGAAGTTCTGTCAGTGATGTCTACTTTTAGCCGTGGATTTTGAACCAGAAAGGAAAATAGTTGATTTTGGCTAACAATTCTGTCCCCCAATTAAGGAACTCGTGCAAGTTATCAGACTCCTATCAGTTGTGGCCTGACTGAACAGTTTCCGCTACTTTAAGTTATCCATACGAACAACTGCACATTTGGCGATAACATACTAAACTTGGCTTCTGTAGAGCAGTCGAACAACGGTGAAATACGATTTATATGAATTTAACCATGTTTAAAATTAATTAGCCAAAAAAAAAAAAAAAAAAAAAAAACTGAAGCTTTCAAATTTTATTTTAAAGTTTTGTTTTGTGGTTTACCTTATAATTAATCTCCTTTCGTTAAACCTAAATTCAATCCAACACCATAAAATTGAAAAGAGGCTATCTTCAGCTTTTATAAACGTCTTGCGCGGTGAGATAAAAATATTGTTTTTTTTTCCGTACAGTGTTGCCATTGCTCGCTTTGAAATGGTTGAGTTTGTTTATCAAATTCGCCCAAATGTTCACATATAATGGATAATAAAACCTTCCAAGGCTTCCAATGCTTATTTGAGTCAAGGACTACGTTATTCAATTTAAGTCTCCTGGGTACCTCTAATTTTTTCACAGTGCTTGAAACATCTACATTCATTCAGATTCTTCATATTAACATTCTCCTAGCATTTCTCGATTCTTCATTTTAACATTCTGTGTAGCAAATACAGCAAATTTATGCCCCATGACTTTTAACATAACGATTGATCAATATGGCTGTACTGTGTCCTTAAATCTTTTTTTGTATATATAAGACAGCACAAAGTAACACGTGTTGCTGTTTTAAATATCTAATTTTTTGTAAGTACAATTTTTGCTTTTTTATTTAAGCTCTAATTAATTATCTGTTATCAAATTATTTATTTAAGCCCGTCTTATAACTAAGTTATGTTCTATATATTTTGTCTTAATAATCAATTACATTTTTTCAATCTATGTTGAATTTGTCAAGAATATGTTTAGCGTATTGTGCAAAGAATGTATATGTTTAAGTGTATCTTGAGTTGTAATGTCCCTTAGTCAGTGCAATGATCATTAATGCATTTATGAAATGTAGTGGAGTATATATAGTGTGTTTAATCGCTATGTAGCGGGAAATGTTTATTCCGCATCAAAAATCTATATTTTGCCCTTATATGGCCATGTACTTTGCCCCTGTATTGTTTTGGGAGTGTAGCTTCAGATAGTTGCGGGATCTGAACGATACCCGATTAGTCTATATAAGCCGTTTGGGTATCCAGACCTGCTCTCACCTGTCACCTTTAGCAACTCTGTTTCTTTAAATACAA